AGGTCCTTTCTACCCTTTGTGACGTCATCAGTTTTAACGGTCAAGGACAACTTTCTTCGCTAACTTGTGCAGAGTGAAGAGATCTTTCAAACCATACCAGAATGAGCACAATTCAGTCAAGGACACCGGAGAAAGAAGCAAAAAACCACGTGACAAGGACCTGAAAATCTCCATGAAAATCTTGTTCCATTACCCACCTACCTTTCCTTTCACCTAATCCTAAGATCCTAAAAGCTTTCCTAAAAACTCTTCCCACCAAAATGAAGCCTACTAAATGCCCAGCAAGCGAAAAAAAAATGAGGCAAGAAAAGCGAAAAGTAAAAGTCAAGTCAAGTCACTTTTAAACCCAAAAACTGTCGAAATTTTGCTTTCTGCGCATGCCCCAACCTCGCAAGCTGATATTTTGCATCTGGATCAGAAGGCCGCCAAGTGTACGACCTGTAAACCGGTTTGTGGTAAGTTTTAGCTCTTTATAGCACGACAGTGACCAGAAAACCACTCGACTAGCTTCAAAACGCGTTTTTCGGCAAAATCTCCAGGAGCGAATGGGTTAAGCCAAGGCGTAGAGTGCAGCCGCTGTTTCGACCCTTCACGCGTTCGTTCCGGGGATGAAACTTGCAACTTAGGTTGCATTTTCACTATATACTTTCGCTTTCTTACGATAATCAAGTTATTTTAGAAATACAGCTAGGTACAAACTAAACTATTCTGATCGTCTTTCGTTTTCTCGTTTGGCACCCTCAGTATTGGATGAGCTTACGAACAGAGCTGTGGGAGTCCACATTTGGACATTTAAAGGCCAAAGATTTTCTGCTGAGTTGTCCCTTTTTAAGTTAACGCCCATGCCATAAACACCGCTACATAACACCCTTGTTGATTGGTCATCGCAAATCAAGGAACAACCAATCAGTTCGGCAATGAATGACAAAATAAACTTCCTTTTCAGATAATTTTCAGATAACTATAGGCTTCCGCAACGGCAACTATTCTACTCAAAATTCCGCTTCTACTAAAAGCACCAGTCAAGATAAAATTTGGTGCCCCAAGCGAAAAATTTCAAAGGATCTACTTTTGAGAGTCTTTCAGTTTATAAATAAAGGAATGAGAAACTGGATAGTCGTTTCTCGGCGAAATCACAGCAATTAATAATCGCTGGTCAGTTTAAATTTTGCTTTTATTGATTTCGTCTCCATTAATTTACGATCCCTGGTTGGGAATGGGTTAAACACGCCTGTTTTTTACTGTTTGTTATAGTCATCGCGAAACAATTTATTGTACTTAATTTACTACATCGAAAGTTCACGGCACAAGTTATAATTACTTGAATCAATCAGCTTGGTGTGCATGAGAAAATACAGATTAAGGTCTTGCTTTGTTTCGATTCCAACTTAAGTGGCAGCTCAGTTCCCTCTTTAACTTCCCATATTTAGCTCGACCTCGCCACGAGGTCGCACCACTGGGAGAAATAATCCTGATCTCTAAGGGCTGGGTAAACTCAGCGGAATGTATCGATAGCATGAGAAAATCTAAATGTAAACAAAAGAATAAAGGAAAAAATGAAAATGAAATTAAATGAAAAAACCTATCGGTGGCTGTGAAATCGTCACTTAATCCTTAAATTTCTCTGTTATTGCCTCTTTTGATTCGGATTCTAAGTATTTTAACTTGTATTGGTAGAATTTGTAAACATAATTTTTGTACTTTATTGGTCACTTCTAATAGACCTTTACATTATACAGAGTGTCTTTGAATACTACTCTCGTGTAAAGAAGTTTTCAACTTATCGAAACTACCGTATTGAATTAAAACTGATTGTTTGATTGATTGATTGATGATTCATTCATTCATTCATTCTTTCTTTCTTTCTTTCTTTCATTCGTTCATTCTAATAGGCAGTAAGAAATCTCCTGTTTGCCCTACGACGCTTTGGTCTAGTTAGCGTGAATTTCCTATGGACTCTCTTATGAGCCGCTGCTGTCATCAGACTTATCACTCTTTTCTGTCGAAAATCAATCTACCTCCTGGATAAAACTCAACTGAAAACTTTCCTTTCAAACGTCTGGCTTAGTCTACCTCATCTCCTGTCGCCTTTGCTCTAGGCCTACCATGTACATTGGCAAAACCGAGTTGGCATACACTGTGGATTCAACGCCTTTCTGCGAACATCTTTATTCAAAGCATTGAGAATAACTTGCCGAGTTTTGCTGTTGCCGAGCACTTTAGCACGGCTGGTTACTCCGTCAATGCCGCCGCGGAATTGGGGTTTCCAGGAGATATATGCACCTGACTTTTCAACTAGGCACTAGTCCAGGCTTCCGTTTCCTCTATGCCGCAGCCGCGCACCCACTACAAAGCGTTTAAAATTTTGAATTCATGGCGTATTAACAAAGCTCTCAAACTGAAAGCTTGCACTGGTTCTTTCACCAATGAAGGGCCATGGATAGCCTTTCTATAATCCATGTGAAGGGCCAGGCCCATTTGGAAAACAACTAACTCCGTA